AGTTCATTGGCGGTCTTATTATTATTGTTATTAAATTTAGATTCCTCATAAATGAAGTCATATGGCATTATTCTTTCTCTTTCCACCGCACTTCACTTAGAATGACAGTCTTCAGGTCCATCCATGTTGCTGCAAATGGCATCTTTTATGGCTGAGTAGTATTCCATTGTAGATATGTATCACCTCGTCTTTATCCAGTCATGTGCTGATGGACATTTGTGTTGTTTCCATGTTTCTTTTTCAATGTCCCTTCTGGCAGCAATTACTGATTTTAAATATTTTCCACCTTAAAATCCTTCCTGAAGGGTATGTGGTAACAGGAATCAAAAACAGTTAAAGCACAGGGTTGTTTGTGATGCGCCCTGGGGGCTTGGTAGGAAGGTTTGCGGAAAGGATTTCAGATTCTGATCCAACGATTCCTCCTATTGTAGCCCTGCTGACCGCCTCTCTCACTGCCTGCCCTACAATTCTGACCAGTCCCTTCTGTGAATCCCACTGTATTGTGCACAAATTTTGTCCAATTGGTGTCATCCCGTAGGGACCTTCGGTGAGGCACCTAAGCTCCTGTGTAGGTTTCTTCCATCAGCCCTTAACTTCCTTGGGAGCCGGGACTGTCTCATTGCCCCAAGGATCCCTAATGCCTAGTGAGAAGCCTGATACAGCTGGTACTTAACGAGCACATGGGTCAAATGGAAAAACGTGATCAAAGAAAAGGCTCTCGTTTTTCAGACATGCCTACTTGAGTACATAGGGTAAAATGACATCTCTTCTGGGATTTGCTGTCAAATACTTCAACAAAGGACAAGGCAAAGAACAAAGGTCTGAATAAAGGAAATACGGAAAAGTCTGTGAATTCCTTAATCTGGGTGACGGGCTTATTGTTCTATTCTTATTGATGTATACTTAAGTTATTTTATAATTTTACTACCATTAGCTGAAGAGCAAGTATTAATACGTATTAACTGAAATCCTTAGAGCTGACCAAATTTACCCCACACAAAATCCTTAATGTCCTAGTAGTCTGTCTTACAGAAATCTTTTCCCACAAAGACAAGAAAAAAGGGAGACAGATCCGTGCAGTATTTCCACGTTGTCAAGAGACCCAAGACCGACACAAAGTAAGAGATTCGAAAAAAGATAAAGAGGCTGAAATCAATGTCCTGAAAACCTAGCCAGGAATTCTAAATGGCCCAACTTAACTAACCTCAGCACTGCCGCATCAAGAAAGGGGTAAATAGCACCTAGTCGAATTTTTTTTTAAATAAATAAATAACGACCCAGTTCCTACCACAGGCAATTATGATAAGACTGAGTATAAATTCTAACACCAAATAGTGTACAAATTATAATTTCTACTTGATTCAAACTGCTTCTTCTTAAAGAAGAATCTGAATTCTTTTATTCTTAAGACATATTTGTGGCATATGACCTAGTGATAAAATTTTCAACCAGCTTGTATTCAAAAAGTTCACCAATGTGAGAGTTTATTACATCAACTATTGCTTTTTGGGAAACCCATGTGCCTTGTCACTCTCTTTCATAAGATTTCCTGTGGAAAATTCAATCCCTCATTCAGGAAAGGGCTGAACAAACGGTCTGATGGAAAATCTTCATACACTGCAACACAAGAAAATGAAAATGACTGTGAGCAGCCCGTGAAGCCGGCAGACACACACAGCGCATTGCTGTGTTCCCGCCTCGACTTTCTGTAAGCAGCAGGGAAAAGGTGCATCTCAAGAAATAGTCATAAACACTTTTCAGGACCTGAGCACACAATTTCACTTTCCGGGTTTAGTGGGCTTCCATTTAATTCTATGAGAAGTGTTTAAAACAACAGAACAACAGCTGAGATAGGGTTTAAAGTAACTTTTATGTCTTAGTGAAAATAAAGCCAGCTGATAGTTATCATTTTTAGATTATTTGATCTCACTCTCCTACTTTACCTCTCCAACCACCTCACAAAATGACGGTGAACGTCCCCTCCTGGGTCAGAAGGCTACGTAGAAAGTACCAATCACATGGAGGTGTGCTTTGTTGTTTTATTTTTCAAAAGAAACATGTTTCATTCATGTGACTTAATAATTAAGATCAAGAAACAAACTCTATTCAATAAATATTAGCCAACACATGTCGTCATAGCTGCTCATCAGGTTTGGCCCCATGTTACACACATTTACATGAACATCTGCCATGTGCTGTCATGGGACATGGTGAGTGGGGACAGAGTCTCTGCTCTCACAGGGCACACAGCCTGGTGGGGGGCCGGTGTTCAATCATTGCCATTTTTTAATGTACTTACAAA